CTGCCGGCGACGGGCGGCAGATCCCTCGGGGCTGTTCCCCAAATAGGCCTCTCGCAGCCAGCGCCTCCGATCGCACCCGGGCTCGGACGAGGACACGGGCGGCCGCCTCGTTTCCTCTGCGGCACCTAATTATACCCTGGGGCGAGGAGGCAGGGAAACGCTCACGTGGCAGCAATCCGTCTGCGTGCTGGTAGACATCTGCTGTGCTTCACCCTAGAGCAACACCTGCGAGAGATTCGGTCCCCGAGGCCTTCGAGAAGTACTCCAGTACTTAGGCAGATGCAAAACACAGACCTATGAAAATCCCTGTTCGAGCTCACTGGCTTGCGCAGGAAGCCGCGTGTAGGTGGTGACGATCTGACACCGGCTCCGAGAAGCGCGCTCGTATCGCCCAAATTCCCCGAGCTCTTCTGCTCCCAAAGCATCCACGTCCAGATTGATCAGTTCAGTCGCTGCTTTCCCTTCAAAAACTCAGGTACCCAATTCCTAGTTAGAACAACTGCTCTGATAAACAGTGGGGAAAAAAAAAATAATAATTTTAAAGATGCTCTCAAGTCACTGCAAGCAGGAGAAGCTGAGAAACCCCAAGTGCTTGTTGGCCCAGCTCAGCTCCGGCGCAGGCCGATCCCCCTGCAAGCTCTGGGAAGTCACCCGGGGGCTCCCGCTGCCACCCCCCGGGAGACCCCTGCTCCCCCCCAGGCTCCCCCCCAGTCCCCGCTGGATGAGGGACAGTCCAGCACCTTCAAAACGCATCGATTGGCTTTTTTGCCCATACAGTGGCTTCTGGTCACTCCTCCTCTGTGCCACGCCAGCGGCCGCTCCGTCCACGCTTCGGGAACACTTCTCAGCCTCTTTCCTTCAGCGCCTTCCCCAAATCTACCGATTCTTCCAGCGAACGAGCTAAGGCCTTCTCAGCCCCAAACCCTAAGGAAATCCTGCTGGCATTTCACAGAGGAGAGGGCTTCCCCCAAAGCCAACGGCAACTGCCACGCAAGCCGTCCTCGCAGGTGCGAGAATCCGCAGGACTGGACGCCGTTTTCCCCCAGTCACAGGGACTGAGCTTCACCGGATTCCCCACAGCTTACAGCTCCTGAAATAACTTTATTCAGGGGGGCCAGGACGAGGCGACGGACGGGGCGTTCGGGCAGGGACGGAGCGATCCGATGACCGTCAGACAGGACTTGGCAGAGCAGCCACCCCAAGCCGGACCTTCTGGTTAACCCCTTCCTGACCTGCAGCATGCTCTCTTGCCCAAGAAACCTAGTTTTGGTTCTAAAAATGAACAGCGATGGCGAATCCAAGTGCCGAGAGACGGTGCCAGGAAGCACCTGCTCTCGCCGTTAAGCGCTCGCTCTGTTTCTAGTTTGGGTTTGTCTCATTTTAACACCCAGTCCTTGGGTCCCGTCAGCTAGGCTGAAGAGCCTCTGCTCTTAAACCTCCCTTTACCAGACCAGGGAGGAGAGGGGTTCGACAAGAACCACGAGGATGACCGAAGTACCTGAAGATAGGCTCCAGCAAGCCTTCGGCACCGACCCGCTCCCCCTGCAGCCTCCTCCGGCGGGCGATACCAGCGCAGGACCCGCTGCGCGTGACCAACTAGAGCTCTTGGAACAACCTTTTTTTTTAAAAATAAGGAATTAAGAATGATATATTCTGCCCTCCGTCTCCTCCATAACTCATGAACCACTCAAAAAACCCAACCCCCTCCGGGTGGTGACTGGGAGAAACTGGATGTCTATGGCCAAAGTCTAATTCTCTCCTCGGACGTGGTACCGTGGCCTTTGGAACAAACTCATGCCACCCCCCAGTTTTCAGCAGGGGCTCATTCCCCAAAGCCACCACAAACCTGTTGATCCCCATCGCCGGGACGGTCAAGAGAACCACCTCCCTCTAGGAAAACGCAAAGGCTGCGGTTACCTGTAGTACGAAACCCCTAACTGCCTGTTTCTCGCGGTCCAGAAGCAGGGGGACAGGAGGATCTCCAGGCACACGTACCGACCGCCCTGCCGCCAGCCGGTTGTAGTCTCCTTACCCTCTAAACCCGGGAAGGAGGTGAGGAGAACGTCTCCGGGATGGAGGGCAAGCAGCTGCCAAGCTTCAGTTCCAAGCTACAGACCAGCCTACAGCTCGTGTTGTGCGGCTCCGCAGCAGTTTGGCCGTCAAAACCAACGGCATCCAGCATCTGCTACGCACAGCGCCGGGCAGAGGCACAAG